AGAATAGAATAGAATAGAATAGAATAGAATAGAATAGAATAGAATAGAATAGAATAGAATAGAATAGAATAGAATAGAATTCTTTATTGGCCAAGTGTGATTGGACACACAAAGAATTTGTCTTGGTGCAAATGCTCTCAGTGTACATAAAAGAAAAGATACATTTGTCAAGAGTCATCAGGATAAGTCATAAGGATAGTCTTAGGGTAAACAAGCAATCAAATCATACAATAACAATCATTAGCATACAAGCAACAAGGTAACAATCATACAGTCATAAGGGAGGAGATGAGTGAAAGGAAGGATGGGAGGATTAATAGTAATAGTAATGCAGACTTAGTAAATAGTTGGACAGTGCTGAAGAAATTATTTGTTTAGCAGAGTGATGGCGTTCGAGAAAAAACTGTCCTTGTGTCTAATTGTTCTGGTGTGCCGTGCTCTATAGCGTCGTTTTGAAGGTAGGAGTTGAAACAGTTTGTGTCCGGGATATGAGGGGTCTGTAAATATTTTCACAGCCCTCTTTTTGACTTGTGCATTATACAGGTCCTCAGTGGAAGGCAGGTTGGTAATAATTGTTTTTTCTTCAGGCAAATTCATTTAACATCTCTCTTAGCAACAGGAATATCGGGCTCAATGATAGTTATAAGTCAAGGACCACCTTTACAAATCAAGCAAAACAGTCTTCACATACACACACACAGAGAGAGAGAGAGCAACAGTGCAACAACTCCAGGCCTGGAACCCAAATTGGGTTTTAAGAGATTTCCAGAACTCTAGAATAGACGGCAACATCAATATCTGTGAAGGATACTATTCCAGAGGGTTAAGGCTTCAACAGAAAATGCTCATTTCCTCAATCCCAAAAGTTGACAATGTTTAACAGAAAAGACCTAGAGTGTACCCACTTTGGAACATACCTGATACTCCTTCCTCCTCCGATTGTCCCCAGAACAACAACCCTGTGAGGTGAGTTGTGCTGAGAGAATGTGACTGGCCCAAGGTCACGCAACTGGCTTTTCACAGCTAAGGTGGGACTTGAACTTGTGGTCTCCTGCTTTCTAGTCTTGTACCTTAACCACTAGACCAAACTGAAAATGACTGGATATATCTCTCAGATATTCAGACCTTATGCCCTACAGGGCTTCATAGGTAATAATCAACACCTTGAAGTTAAAACTCTTCAAGTTGAATAAGATCTAAGAAGCTCCTCTACTGAACTGTGCATCATAAGTTCCTAAGTTCCATATTTCCATGCCTTTAAATACCATGTTTTCAGTTACCATAAGCGAACTCAATTACCTCTGAGTGTTATTTATTAACAGATGCTAGCTATATGGTTAAATAGGTCTCTCAGGAAGTTACAGAGTCAGAATAGAGAGCTGGAAGGATCTGCTCAAGCAGGACACCCTATACCAGTGATGGCTAACCTTTTCATTGTCGTGTGCCAAAAGTGAGGCCCGCATGCATACGCAGTGGATCTCTTCTGGGCGACAGCTCGCATGCCGGCAGAAATGGCTCTACGTGCTACTTCTGGCATGCATGCCAGAGGTTCGCCATCACGCCCCATACCATTCCACATGTGGCTGTCCAGACTTTTCTTTAAAAAAACCTCCAGTGGTAGAATACCCACAACTTCTGAAGGCAAGCTCTTCCACTGGTTAATTATTCTCACTGTTACAAAGTTTCCCCTTAATTCCAGATTGCTTCTCTGCTTGATTAGTTTCTATCCACTATTTCTTGCCTTGCCTTCTGGTGTTTTGGAAAATAAACTGACCCCCCACCCTTCTTTGTGGCAGCCCCTCAAATACTGGAATACTGCTATCATGTCACCCCAGTCCTTCTTTTCACTAGACTAGCCACACCCAATTCCTGCAACTGTTCTTCATATGTTTTAGCCTCCAGGCCTTTGTGCTTTTTCTGTTCATTCATTACATTCATTGTTTTGATAAGCTGTCTATTTTTGTAATAGTGTAAACTCTCTAGAACTGTTCCAGGTCAAAACTCACCCAATTTTTCAATTTTCCCTCCTTCAGGTTCCCTTCAAGAAGAATCCAAGGTTCAGAGAATTGAAGATATCATCAGAGTCCTTTTCTCTTATCAAACTGACTGTTACATATTGCAATTCTGTGGTGGTTTGAAGAGGTTTATACATCCTTTTTCGATGTTCCCTAGTTTTGTAATCTTGCGTGTAGCAATCTTCTTGGGGAAAATATCTGCTGAACTATATACCATGGGGATAGGTGAGCCCAGTAAAAATACTTCATCTCACAGAGACACAGACAAAAATACACACAGATATACACATTCTAAATCATCCTTAGAATTTAACCCCTAAACCTTGTATTGTTAGAGCTTGTATCTTTAAGCAAAATGTATTTAGAATTAACTGCTTTCATTTGTCAAATAAGATAACAGTCCCACCATCTCTATGAAGGCAGGAAGCCTTAGTAAAGGAGTACAACAAAAAATATGAGAAAACGACTTCTTCCTGTGCATGCTGATATTCCTTATCTATCAATTGGCGTGCTTAAATCTAGGAAGCCCTCTCTTTCAACAGCTATCTAATAACTTTGACATCAACACACAATGAAAAGCCAAATAGGCTGCTGAATTCCCAGATACAGGTAGTTACATACCTACATAAAAGGTGCCAGGTTTTGACCTTCTTCACCAGTATTGGTCAACTCTGAACAAGATCCGTACCCAACATGGTATCTGCCAGGACTCATTGTTTAAGTAGGGTGTTGTCTCTACTCCTCAGCATGACTGTGGTGCTCCTCAGCAAAATATCCATCATATTGTGTCCGAATGCACACCAAGAGCTGACATCATCCCAATGTCTGATTATTTTTCAGCATAGACCACCCTGTCCTTTAATGGCAGGCTGGACCAGACATTAACATTTGAACCACTATAAGTCCATGTATTTGCCATACGCCAAATAAATAAATAACGGTCTCACTTGCACATAACCATAGCAAAAGGGTATTCTAGCTTCATATTATTTAGATTATTTATTCAGAACATGAGTAAAAGAAGCTTAGCTTATCCATAGTTGCACTGATGCAGAAGGAATACTCCCCACCATAGTTCAATACAGTCCAAAAGTATGTTCAAAGTGGCCAAATTCTGTCACTCAAAATCTTAGAGAAAAGTCACCAATGACAGTGATTTCAAACAAAATTGATACAGGTGGATCAGGGACCCTCCATGGGAATAGTAACATTCATGTTAGTTTTGTTTTTCTGTTGATTTGAGAAAGAATTTTGTACTGTTGAAGACCATTACAACATATTTTTACTTGAAGTCAAAAGAGTCATCAAACTATATGTACCAACAACAACTCCCCCCCCACAAAAAAAACCCAGATTACCCATAACAATAAGGAAACTTCAATCCAAAAAGAGATAACTCTGGGGAAAAAACAAATTTGGTCACGTTGCCAACTTTAAAAGCTGATACAAAAATTTATGCCACCAGATAAAGACTGAATGCACCAATTATTACATCAAACAAGAGAAAAACCTTCTACGCACCAATTCCACCCATGCTTTTTACAATTTTGTAAACAAACAAAAAGACTCAAGGTCCATCCCATCCCTGATAGGGCCTAATGGTAAAGACTGCAACGATGACACCATTAAAGCCAACATCTTTAACACATTCTTTGGCTCAGTATTTGTAAACAGCAATGGATCATGCCCAGTATTTCCTAGCCAAACCACAGAAAACTACAATGATCTAATACATATTCATTTTACAGAAGACATTGTTGAAAAAGCACTATGCAATCTAAAACCATCT